AATCCAATAGGTCCCCACGATGCTCGAGTAAATCCACATTTAGCCTCTCGGCCTCCCCTACTACTGGTGTAAATACCAAGACATAAAGGGATCTCCGGAAACGAGAGAGCTGACTGTCTCGCGAGGGAGGCTGCCCTTTATGGTCGACGACCTAAGTTCAAAATTTTTTATCAAGACCTTTTAATTTTATCCCGCGACTCATATAAGAATAAGTTCCAAGCCTATCTCGATCACTCCACCACTTATAAAGGGCAGTTATACGATAACTATTATAGGAACAACTTCCCGAAGCCATGGTTTTGTAATAAATCACTGAAAAGAAAAGAAATCTAGGCTACGTTCCAACCACTATAACCTTGCTTACAGTCTGCATCGGAAGGGAATAATAGACTCTCCTACTTGTTTCTGCGGAAACTCCAGGCAGGACATAAATCACATAATTTTCTATTGTAATCAATGCATAGGTAAATCCATCAAACTGCGCGCCTACCTTAAGAAATACGAGGGTCGTCTGAAAAGTTTTGAGCCTAACATAGAAACAAGTAATTTTTCGGTCAAATTCAATTTTATTTTTCCATATAGTCTCCTTTTAAGTCGATACATTTTTTCCAGCGATGCTCCCACCCCTTTAATCCATTCAAATAATACCGAGCATCTTGCTTTGTAAAATAGGCGTCTACGGATGCGATGACCTCGTTCGATGAAAATTTCTGTCCTCCGAGCCAAACTTTGAGCCTAGGAAACAGAAAAAAGTCGCTGGGGGCCAAATCTGGTGAATACGGTGGATAGTCAATTAATTTGAACCGCAATTCGTGAATTTTTGCCATAGCGACCGCCAAAGTGTGAGACGATGTGTTATTTTAATGGAATAGCACTTTCTTCTTTTTCAAATGCGGTCGTCTTTTCTCAATTTCTGCCTTTAACTTGTCAAGCAATAATGCGTGGTACGTCCTGTTATTGTTTTACCTTTTTCAAGATAGTCGATCAACACAATTCCATGACTGTCCCAAAAAACAGTCGCCATCACCTTTCCCGCCGATAAAACCGTCTTCGCTTTCTTCGGAGCAGGTTCACCCTTCGCAGTCCACTGTTTTGATTGTTCTTTCGTTTTAGGAGTGAAGTGGTGGACCCAAGTTTCATCAACTGTTATTAATCGACGCAAAAAATCCGACTCGTTTCGCTTAAACCGCTCCAACAGGACCTTAGAAATGTTCATTCGAATGCGTTTTTAATCCAGAGTGAGCAAGCGCGGCACCCAACGGGCGGTTAACTTACGCATGCCTAATTCTTCAGTCAATATATGACAAACACATTCTTGTGATGTGCCAACAGCCTCTGCTATCTCCCTAATCTTAATATTCGACGGTTGTCCATTATCATCTGATGAATTTCTTCGATGTTATCGGTGGTGGTCGCAGTTGTTGGCCGTCCCGAACGCTCATCATCAGCTAAGCTGGTACGACCACGTTTAAATTCAGCTATCCATCTTTTCACGGTGGCAAATGATGGGGCAGAATCTCCGTAAACAGCGTCCAACTCGGCTTTAATTTGCGTAGACGTATTGGGGTGATCCCGATTGATCACGGCTCGATTGGACACCACCAATCACAGCCAAGGTCCGTGGATTGGCGTTGGAGGGGAGAAGGTCGTTGCATCCACTTCAACGATGTGGAACGAAAATGGCGGCGGCCATAGAACAGCTGATTAATATGTAATGTCAACTCAATAGTAGGTTATTCTCGTTTTAGACCATAGGTTAGATTTGCAGGGAAAAATGCTAGGAATTGTTTTATAAATAAATGTAATAAACAAAAATGTTTAACAGTTTTTTAATAATATAAAGAACCAATGTTAATAAGTATAATAAAACGAAAGAAAGTTATATTATATATTTGTTTTATAAATAAAAACATAAATATATACTTTTTAAAATATATTAATCAGGGATGGGAAGTAACTCGTTACTTATTGTAACGAAGTTACAGTTAGAGTTACTTTTTTTCAGTAACTGTAACTTAAGGGGATCCTAAAGTCCTGTATTACCGACTAAAATACGTACAAATTTTTGTATTGCGAATACTCTTTTTCTCTTTCACGGATTCGAAAATCCTTTTCCAGGATTAAAGTATACGCATTAATACGTGACTG